CAAATTCATCAGCGAAAGTTGTAATTCCTGAATCTTCTTCACAACATTTAGTAGTATAATCAACGTAACCTGCAGCACCAAGCCAAACTAAGTCTATTCAGAGGCTTCATATAAGTTTTAATTACATAAAGTACATTGTATGCAAAAACTAAGTAGAGAAATGTAATGAAAGATAACGAAAGATACAACTTTTTTTTTTTTGATGTGCTTTGATATTTTTGATCAACGTGTCTCTTATACTCCAATTATATTGAACTATTCAAATTTTGAATGCTTTACAGTAAATCACCATTAATATCAGAAGTTACAACAAACGAACTTAGTGTCTAGCCGAAATTGAAATATCAAATTGATCAACTAGGTTGCTGATAAAGTATATTCCAAATAATATTGATTCGGTAGAGTCTTGATAATAGAAAGTGAGTTTAAATATGCAACTTTTATGCGTTCATGAATTGACCATTTAACTTTAAAGGTTATGAAATCAAAATGAAACAGCCTAGAGATGTTCTGAATATAGCAGAAAAGTTCCACAAAACCTCAAAGCTAAGCAAATAAATCACTTCTATATTGGCAAAAAAAACAAGAAACAATCAATTTATGACTTGGTTCATGATTTTCAGCTAAATGATATATTAAACAACAAAATAAAAGGGACAAACAGAGACTCAAATATTAAATGAAACGGAATAAGTCATTAATTAAAGTTATGTGGTAATCAAGTGGAGAAGAAAATTAATTATTTATTTTTTCTTAGTTGTTGATAATTTAGACGATACTAAATCTGAAACATGACCAGGACACGACTCTTGCATATAAATTTGAATTTAATTAAAAGTCAGAACGACATTAAGTTTATATATATATTTTTTTGAAAGTGACATGAAGTTTGAAACCAATAGTATAGTTAATAAGTATTTTGTTTTTACCATAAACCTATCACCCATTGACCTGAATTTAGCTCTATCATACTAAATTTAAGTTTTTTATTAAATCTAATCGTGAATTAGTAAAATTAATATTGGTGTAGATTTATTTTTATTTCTTTCATTCATGTCGTATAGTTTTATTACTATAAAGTCGTTATAATAATTTTTAATATATAAATACAATTAATTTCAAAAAACTAGATTTAAACTTTAATTTTACTGGTCTTTTTTTTAAATTCAAAGTTTTATCAACTCATCAACTCACATAAAATCACCACTTTATGCCATTATTGAGTTCTCAAAATTAAAAAATGACTTCAACATCATCTTCATCATATCCAAGTACCAATAATGTGGAAATTGATTTCTATCATACCACAATAAAAAATTCAAAAGGGGCAGTGGAAACCTACGTTGCTTCCATAAATTCTAACATATCAAAATTTCCAACTTTACCTGCAGATGGGTTCAAAGTCATTTATGATTTATATGCAAATGGAGATATCATATTAAATAATGAACAGCCAGATTATTTAAAACATATTGCAAAATACTTATTATTATTTTGGAAATCAAGAGGTTATGATATTAAAGTTGATTTTGAAAATAAATCAAATTCAATTGTTTTACATTTAGATTGCAAAATTTTAAAAAAGTTTGAAAGTTTTAATGAAGAAACATGGTTTGTAGCTGATACTGCAAATACAATTGAAATTGATTTATTTATATTCACCCCAAGACCAGAATTGAATTATGCTTGGACGGTAAGACCTTTGAATAATGTTTTAAGTTGTTTATATATCGATCTTGAACATAAAGTACCATTAATCATGTCCTTATATGCAAGAAATTTGTTACACAATCATATCACTTCTCAAAAATTGTTAGATGATATTAGCGGGATTATTTTTGAATCTGATTCTGAAGATAGTGGTGATGAAAATACTGTTGATGATGATGATGAAGATGTATTACCTGATCGACCAGCCAGTACCACGAAAATTCAATTAACATATAAACATGCAAATGCATTCCCATTCAAAGAAACTCAACATCCATATGATGAAAAATTGGCTAAAAAATTAAGAAAATGGAAAAAGAGTGAAATTGCAGGTTTTCAAAATATAAGTGCAAAATTCATTGAAAATCAGGCAAACCCTTTGAAAGAAATTTCAGTAAAATATTATCAAAGTGAATCCTTGGCAAATTTATCAAATCGTGTAACAGCTTTTGATGATATTGAATGTAAAGATTATAAGCCATGTCTTTCAGTATTTTGCATTGATCCAGAAATAAATGGTTTGAAAATTCGTGATTAGGTATTGCTTTGATGCTTTAATTTTGATGAAAACTATTAAATTAGTTGATTTTTATAACAGTTTTCATAGTTGTTGTTTTTAATTTCATAGTTTTGTTATTGTTTTTTCGGTATATATTTTAATAATATATTACTTTTCGATGTTTGTTTCAAAACTTAAAGTTTTCTGTTTTCTCTTTTCTCTTTATTTCTAATTAAGCGCAATTTCCACCGTATTTTTTAAAGCGCTTTTTTTGCGTTATGTAAAAATGTAGTGTACCAATGCACGATAAATTTAAATTCTCATTCGACCATATTTAATATCAACGTTAACAATAATCACTTTCCCCTTAGAGGTCTCTTTATTTGGATTATTCTTTTGTTCTTGAACTTATGAACATATTGTTGAAATTGTTCTGTTCTGGAAAGAAAATATCATCTTAATCAACACTATATTTAATTCAACAAGCCAATATTACATAAAAAATAAGAAGTGATGAACTAATTGAAGATATAAGATGTGAACAATAAAATTCATGCAAAATTATCTAAAATCAAAAACTAATTTAGTAATTCCTTTCAACAAAACGAAATTGATTTAAAATACTGGGTAAAATTTATTAAAATGGTTTTGTCTTGAACATGCACAATTTGCAAAATTAAGTATACACATTAATTTCTATTGAAGAAGTTAATTCACCAGTCTATTCGATTATTATAAAATCAAGAAGCTATTCATTTATAGTAAGATCAATAAAACAAAATAAGTGAAACTATCCAGTGTTTTTAGGATCAGTGAATGGAAATAATGTTATAAATGAACCGAAGTCTTTTTCCCAGCTACTAACTCTGGACTCTACATGTTGAACTGATTCAACTTTGCACACTTCCAATCAAACTTTTCCTTGCTTAAATTAGCTCTTTCAAATTTTCAGCGAATTAGCTTTAAACTGCCAATGTAAGTAAATTAGATTTTCAAAAGGGTTTGTCATAAAGTTATCATTTGATACTCCCAGTGTGAAGTTTTTGCAGAGAATGTACTACAATTAATCGAGACGTGATTGGTCGACCACGTATATAATGATTCAGAAATATAATTTTATTTTATTATATCTATATTCAGCTCCACCAATTTATATAATTTTGGCCATTAATTGTAATCGAGTTAAATTTTGAAGGTTCATTTACTCTTCAGCAATCCCATCAACTATCCGAAACACAACTTTTAAATCATACGTTGTTACTTCTCCTAAAGATGGACGGGAAATACCAACTAACTCAACAAACATTTTCTTCAATTCATCAGCACCTTTTGGATTTAGCAGTCCAGTTACTTGATTCAAAATTAAATGATGCAATTCTTTACAATTATCTATATGTAAGCAAGTCAAATCCTCAATTTGATTTTTAGATAAATCCAAATCTTTCAACGTTGATGGAAACCTTTGCTGGACCAACATTGAAGAAGTGATTCCAATGTTGACCAACCATAACTTTGTTAATTGATTTAACAAGCTGAACTCACCTTTTATTTGAATTATCTCTAAATTTGTCATTTGTAAATCACTCAAGGAAGGAGGAAATCTGTGTAAATCCAATATTTTAATTCCCAAGTCAAACAAGTGCAAAGTCTTCAAGATTGTACAGCCTTTAATACAAATTTGTGAAGGAAGTTGGATAATGCCGTTTGAAGTATTGATGACTGTGCCTTCTGAGTTATTGAATTCAGATCTACTTAAACTCATATATGTGATACCAGATAGATCAATTTGACATGTTTCAAATGTTTTACTTACTTTTCTTTTCTTATTCAAAAATTCGCTAGTTTCATCAAGCATATCATATTCACCAGTGAGGAATTGACAAGGATCAAGTTTTATCTCTTCAGAGCCCGGTACTACCAAAGAATTGTTTCTGATCTCTAAATGATTTAAATTTACCATTCCTTTCAAATCAATTTGAAAAATATTGGATACTTGATTGTATAAAAAATCGAATTGTCTTACTTTAGGATATTTTAACTCCCTATCAACATTTGTAACAACACAACAAATAATTCTTAGTTTCATCATAATCCTTGGTAAAGAAATAAAAACCTCGTTTAATGTAATTTTAATGCCCCAAAGCTCCAAACTATTGAGTGCAGCTAAGCCTGAATTATACCCAAACATTAAACCCACGTAATCACGGCTATAAATTACTAAAACTTTTGGGTTTGAAAGAAGTTTGAAGTTGGACCCTACCTGTAAATATTTCCCGTCATTTGAGAATTCCGAAATTTCAAAATGTTTATTTATTCCTGCTTTCACAAACGTATATAATTCAGCAATATCAGATTCTTCAAAATCAGGACATAATATCAATCGTTCCAATGATTTTGGGAAAGTGCACTTGAACATTCCGAATAAATTCTTACAATCATAAACCTCGATGGACCTTAAGTTATCATACCTTTTTAAGTTTCCCAAAGTTTCAAATTGACATTCATAAAGTATGATAGATCGTACTGTCCTACTCAAATGAAATGCATCTAAGGATTTTACACCATTTAAGTCACCGCATTCAAAATATTCAAGGCAATGTAAATCACTCAAATTAATATCAAAATTGAACTCTCTATCTTCCCGTATAAAATTTAATGCCAATTTTCTCAAAGATGTAGGAAAATTAATCTCAAAATCACTGCCACAAATTGTTTCCATAAGCTCTAACTTTTTAGTTTTGATGATTTCCAAATAATTTTTAATTTCATTTACATCAACTTTCAAGATATCAAATGGATTAGATCCTGATAAACAAATCCCAACAACATTGACTTTTTCAAATATCAGTTTTAAATCAACATTCATTCCGTCTGTTATCTTGATTTCAAATTCTGCGTGAGCGTAAGGATTCTTAGTTTTAACTTCAAAATTCCTTGTATTCTGCAATTCAGCAATAGGTACATTTAACAATTCACTCAATTTGGTTGCTTCAAGAACGATTCTTGAAGGTGTGAAATTGTATACTTCATATAGATTTAGTAAGTCTTTTATTGATCCATCTAAACGACTTATTGAGCCATCAAGTTCAAATTCAGAATACCTTGCTTGTATAGCATATCTTTTTAAAGTCGGGATTAAGAATAACTCTTCAATTTTTGATTTATTATTAATATACTTGATAATTAAGATCCATATTTCTTCTGGTAGTTTAAGAAATATTTCCATCTTTTACTTTTGACATAAGATTTATGATAATTGGTTTGTGTTGATAATTAACAACGATAGTTCTTTTTGATATTGGTTGCCACTATTTTTCTTTTTACCATGAAAAATATTGAAAATTAAATTCTTGGACGTGTCTCATTGATTTGCTACCATATAGCGTTTCAAGATTGTTTCGTCTAATTCAAGAACTCAAAGAAATATCAGAATAACCATTCGTAATCGATATAGCAAACTCAGCACGCGAGATGATTCGAGTCTAAGACAAACCAAACTTAATAATCATAGTTCCATTTGTTAAATTAAAATTTGTAGAAAGGGTTTTTCATTAACAACATTTTGTTATATTAAAATTTGTAAAAAGGGTTTTTCATTAACAACATTAACTTCATTGGATTCAGTATCTCGATGGTTACACATCTTGCCTTTTTCATCAAAGTTTTCGAAATTGCTCTCAAAGCAGTTTATTAGTTTGTAACATAACTTTGAAGACAAACTCTAATAAATTTTTTGAAATTGTCTATCAAAAATTTTCCTGAAAGTGTAATTCAATTAAATATGCCAAAGATAATTCATCAAAAGCAATCTTTTTTACTTCTTTATTTATTACCACATTCTAAATTTACTTCTTTTAAAAGAAAATATGAAACCTGATTACCAAAATTCTATTCTTTCTTCAAAATTTTCAAAATCGTGATTTTTGTCCAGTTAAAAATTGAGCTTGAGTATTACGTTTCAATCCAATAAGCCTTTTTACTTGGTTATGACATCCAAATGGACTTTTGACCGCAAGATTTGTAAGTTCAATATTGATGATTGATAAAACATACAACAGACCCAATTTACATTAGATAATTTCAAATCACAGTATCCATGAACTGGAAAATAATATTGTAAAGTAGTTGCGTATCATGCTTACAACCTCCATAAACTTGAGCATAAATCATGAAACGGCTGATAATTTTGTTTATGAAGATTGAATTGAATGAAAATCATTTGAGATAAATTGGGTATAATTCTTCCGACTCTTTGATTTCTTTAAACTGTATAAATTTAAAACAAGGTGCCTATCATTATTTATTCAAATTAAAAATTCTGTGATCTTTCTAAGATCATCAACGGGGTTTTCTTAATTAAATCTTTACACTCAGCTCAGCAGTAACCATGAAATAAACTTTCGATTGTATTTATGGAACAACTCAAATTCCGTGGACAAAAAATTAGCCACTAGCTAAAGTTGTGACTTCAAATTGGATAGGCATTGCCTTTGAAACATCTATGGTTGGTATGTGCTTCACCGTCTAAAGTTTTAAAGAACAGTGTGAGTATAAACTATTCATTGGTTCAGTTGTTCGTGGAATATGTAAAGAATTCGAGAATAATTAAAATGACATGGGAATTAAGAATTCCATGTCACAAAAATGTTTCTCTGAAATGAATTTATAGAATATCATATCATTTGGAATTTTTATTTCATACTTCATCAAAAGATTTCAAGGACCTAGTTTCAGCCGTATAGTTTTGATTTCAACATCCTCTAAATTAACGACCAACATGGAGAAGATAATATAAGAAAGTTTCAAGTTCCAAAAAGCATAGATGCTTTTAATTAATTTGAGTAGAATTTTTCTATTGAAATTATCCTGTTTTACCATTACTAGATCTCATTTTACATAACCAGATTCATTTATGAATTAGTTGATGCTAATAATTTGCTTATTTTGTCGTCATATTCATAGGATATTTCCTCAAAAAATAATCTGGAGTAAATAGTCAAATCTACAAATGTTGAAAATTTAAGAAGTACTAGCTTCTAGATATATATCTATATAAACAAATAACTAACTATCAACTATTGAAGTATAAAAATTTTATTTAATTACTTTGTTCATCAAGATGATCATAAAATTCTTTGGCAATTTCAATACCATTTTTTTCAAAAAATATTTGGTAACTTTTGAAATATTTCATATCGTCAAAAGTAAAGAAAGTGATAATATGTTCAATTGCATTTTTTCCATAATTGTTGACTCTATTAAGATAGCTGTTGAATCTTGTAGCTTCAAATTCAATGATTAATCCTTTATCTTTTAAAAATCTTGTATCATGAGTAATTAAAATTGCATCTTTTTGTCTTACAGCTTGTTCAATTTCTTCTTTTTCTTCGAAAGGAAGTTTTGAAAATATATGAAAGGCTTGAATTGATTGTTGTCTTAAGGAATTAGCTATTTGAGCAGCATCTTTTCTACCTTTTACATAAACAATAACATTTTTACCAAATAATTCATTATCTTTAGCAAATGATTCCTTAATTTTGACTAGTTCATCAACTTTAGCTTGTAAAGCAAGTTGATTTGATTTTCTTACTCTTTCTCTTCGTTGATGTTTGGGCAATTTGTTGAGTTCGGCTTGAGACAAAACAATTAATGGATTCTTGAACTTGACCAATTTTAATCTTTTATTTGTCTTATCGAGGGAATTTTTGTAATTATATTCAATGCTTATAACATCATTGAAGTTGATGAGATAGGATTTAAATTCACTGGATAATTTACTAGCAAACCAAACAAAAATTGTTGATATTTTAAATTTATCCAAAGTTAACTTGAAAACTATATTTTGAAGTTTGAAAAATATTTCAACATCATCTATGATAACTAACTTTGTATCATGAACTTTCAAATTTCCCTGCAAAATTGATTCACAAAATTGAAATGGCCTAATTATAAGTATATCCAGTGGTCTTTGTATATCATTTGGATTGAATATGTTTTTGATAAATAAACCATAGAATTCTAATTTTTCTAATATATCCATTACTGGGTCAACAGCTTCAGTGACCAAAATAACCACGGGTGAAGCACTTTTATTGATTGTTTCAATATCTATGCATCTGTATGAATAGTATGTTGTTGTAATCCCAATACATTTTTGAATTTCATCCGGATCATTAACTGATAAATTTAAAATTGATTTCGAGTTTTTGACACTAGGAATTGTATAGCCAAAGCTAGTTAAAAATCCAATTTTATACATTTTTATCACATCAAATAAACTTTTACCTAAACTTATTTTTAAAGCGGTTGTGTCACTTATTGGATCAAATGGAATTTCACCTTTGGTTTTTACAGCATATTTTGAATTGAATCTTTCTATTTCATTAAGAATTGGCTTCGAAGCTGAATTGAATTCTTGATTGTCTGGATTTATAGATAAAGGCAGGAAATTATTTTGATTATAAATGTAGTTACTTGATGAATTATCTGGTGTTGTTCTGTAATTTTGATCCAATACTGAAGTTGTTGGAGAATCAGGAGGTGGAAATGACCGGAAGTTAAAATTTGATATTGTTGATGATACTGTTGATGTTAATGCTGATGATGATGAGTATGAGTTTGGTTTAAATTTCTTAATTGGTCTTGGTTGATACATTATTATATGAAAGGTTGATTGAATTGAAATGATTTGGAAGTATGGTTCAATAACAAATTAACATTTCATAAATTAAGCATTTTCTAAGGATTTTTGTAGCATTCTTATACTGTTGATACTCTTTGTGTTGTGATTCATAATTGGTATTCAATGATTGATAATTTTGGTATATGTTACAAATGTATAATGATTTTTCAAAAATGCCCTTTTCCTGTATAAAATAATTTGTTTGATAAGTTGATATTTTTTTTCTGTGGGATATTACACAAACATTAATTAGATCTATCGTAAATTTAATCTATAGTTTAAAAATTAAAACTTGTGAAACCATACACTATATGTTTCATATTAGACTCTAAACAAATTTTATTGTCAATTTATAAAGAGATAAAGCTAATTGAATATCTGGTTATTACAGCTACTGGATAATTAATCAAATCTTTGGAAATTAACTTCATCAAATTTAATAGAATTAAAATTACAAGTTTTTGGTATGAAAATTTAATAGAATTTAAAGTTTTATGGCATTTTGTAAAATGTGTATACTTTTTTAAAAGCTTAAAATTTGACTGTATAGATCAACACTTTGAATTTTCTACGGCATAAATTATAAAGTGTATCGACACAATTTTGACAAGAAAAAAATTAAATTGATAAAAATTTATTATCAAAATATCTAATACATTTTCTAACTATTAAACATCCAAATGATTAATATCATCAAATATCGATTATGAAGAATTACACAAATGATTTCAACAATATAATACTTTTAAATAAATACAGGTTGAAATTCCTTCAAAAAGTTCAAATAATGAATGATTTTCTTGTTTCATGATCATTACGATTAATCATTCAAATTCATTAAAGTATTCATCAAATAATGTATCAATCACCTCCAACAAAAAAGTTCAAACCAAATTCATCATCATCATCATCATCATCATCATCATCAATTTTGAATTTACATTATAATTTGATTATCACACCACCACACATTCAATCATCTGTTCAAAATTCATTAACTAATTCTTCTTTAAATCCAAATACAACTTCATTGAGTCAAAATCCAACTACTATATCTCAATTACCTCATTTACCTCCAAAATCGAAGACATCAAATTCAAAACCAAAAACTAAATCAAGATCAAGATCAAAATCAAAATCAAAATCAAAATCAAATCCACCAGGATTAAAAGACATCAATCAACAAGAATCGTCTAGTACTCAACAAACTATAACAACCTCAGACTTTTTTGATGTCAACTCAAATTATTGTCTTAAACCAGAAGGAGAAAACATAATGGATCCCGTAACTTGTATGGTAGATTTGAAAAAATATATAAATGAACAGCTTTTTGAAATCATGCAAGAACATAAAATTGAATTTGTTCCTAGTATGGGATATACAATACCATGCATCAAAGAGCAAAGATCAATATTAAATATAGGAATTAAAGATCAAGAAGATATTCAAAATTGTTCTGCTGTTATTACGATGGAACATTTAATTAATTCCCGTGATAAAGAAGGAAATTTAACTGAATGTGTTTCACCACTGGTGGTTATAGTTACAGATTCTGTATGGAAAATAATGGCTTTATTATCACTCAAATTGAATAAATCAGAACTATTTCATGGAAATATTTATAACCCAGTAGCTGTTCAAAAGACTCAACATTATCTTATAATTCATCCTAATCATTTTTGTGAAGCTGTATTTTTAGATAAGTTGAAAACTTACAAAACAAGTTTAGTAATTATTGATAAAGTGAATTTATTTTTGAAAGTACAAGAAGAATCATTTATGGAAGCAATATTTAGATTTAATGAATCAACTACTTTTGTTTGGTTTGCTACAAGTTTATCAAGTGATGCCAAATCATTCATCACCAAATTTAGTGATACATTAAATGTCAATTATAACATAAAAACTGGTGGTAGAGATATGCAAAAAAAATTGGTTTTAGTTGATGTCAATGATCCTTTAAATATCTCAAATTTATCCAAAAAAGAATTCAAATCATTGACCAAAAATCAAATCGAAAGTAGAGATTTAGAATCCAAAAAAATTGCTTTAATTGCTAAAGTTAATGAATTACTCAAGCTTAGAGATTCATTTATTAGAAAATCTAAAGAGTTTGGTGAAAATGTTGTTGTCGTTGTTCCAAGTAAAAAAGATGCTGGAAAAATAACTATATCTTTAAGACAAAACGGAGTTTGGGCATATCAATTATTTTCTAAAATACCACCCACAGAAATTGAATCAATTGAACAAGAGGTAATAAATAAAGATGCAATTTTAGTAACTCATGATTGTAATTTTATTAAAGGTAAAGAATATGTTATTGATTTTGAATCAACTAAATTGGATAATTATCTTATTAGAATCGAAAAGTATAAAAAACATGGAGTTTCAGAAGTTTTCACATTTTTTACTACTATTGAAATGAGATATTTTAAACAATATTTTGAATATTTTGAAAAAAATGGTGTTGATGTTCCACAAGAGTTTTACGATTATCACATCCAACAAAACAAAATTGATTTTTTTGGTTTATAATTAATATTTAGTTATAGTTTATTAGATGAGTTAAATAATATTTTGAATATCTTCTTGAATTTTAAAATATGTTGATGAAAATCATGACCTCTTGTAAAAGCATTTATCTCTTTTGTTCTTCGTCGAACATCAGATAACCCAAAATTCACATTCAGACAAAAATTAAATTATTTTTCAACCTTTATCGTTTTAATGAAAACTGATAAGTGAATAGGCAATCTTTTCAATAATCCCAAACATATATATTTGCTAAATCAATTGGAAGATGTTCTCATTAATCTGGAAAAAGATTCATTTAAAATAAGATTGAACTTGTAGTGGTAAAAGTACACTTGTTGTAAATATTGCGTCAGCTAGATATTTCCTACCTCAGTGACAATGGAAATACCTAAAATTTCAGTTTAGTTATCACCATCAATTGAAATTCGTCTAAGGCTTAAAGACTATCTTAGATATAGACGAATTTCCAATATTTTTTACCGTTTTAAATTTATTAATTAGTTTTCTCACTGAGATATTCTTTCTACAAAGAAAATACATTTATTTAATAGTTTTTTAAAAGTTGTATTATTTCAGATACTAGAAGTTAGTTTCAGATGTTGTTACCTCAAAACATTTTATTTCATTATAACTATATCCAGTTTCACAAATTCAAACAATTTCACATTTGATTGCAATCAAAATAAAATTGGTTGGTTTAATCCTTATCATTCCCATTAATGACCCGAAACACAACTTCTGAATCATACGTTGTTACTTCTCCAAAAGATTGAGAGGCATCACGAGCTAATGCAACCAACATTTTCTTCAATTCATCTGCACCCTTTGGGTTTATCAGTCCAGTAACTTCTTTCAAAACCAAATGATGCAATTTGTCACAATTATCTATTTTTAAGCAAGTCAAATCTTCAATCTTATTCTTAGATAAATCCAAATCTTTCAACGTTGATGGAAACCTTTGCAAGACCAACATTGAATAAGTGATTCCAATCTTAACCAACCATAACTTTGTTAACTGACTTAACAAGCTGAACTCACCTTTTATTTGAAATAGCTCTAAATTTGTCATTCGTAAATCACTCAAGGAAGGAGGAAATCTGTGTAAATCCAATATTTTAATCCCCAAGTCAAACAAGTGCAAAGTTTTCAAGATTGTACAGCCTTTAATACAAATTTGTGAAGGAAGTTGGATAATGCCGTTTGAAGTATTGATGACTGTGCCTTCTGAGTTATTGAATTCAGATCTACTTAAACTCATATATGTGATACCAGATAGATCAATTTGCAATGTTTTAAATGTTTTACTTACTTTTCTTTTCTTATTCAAAGATTCGTTAGTTTCATCAAGCAAATCATATTCACCAATGAGGAATTGAAAAGGATCAAGTTTTATTTCTTCAGAGCCCGGAACAACCAATGTGTTTTCACAGATCTCCAATCGATCTAGATCTACCATTTCTTTCAAATCTATTTGAAAAATATTGGATACTTGATTGTATAAAAAATTGAATTGTCTTACTTTAGGATATTTTAAGTCCCTCTCAACATCATTAACTTCACAACGATTAATTTCAAGTTTCATCATAATCCTTGGTAAAGAAATAAAAACTTCGTTTAATCTAATTTTAATACCACAAAGTTCCAAGCTATTGAGTGCCCCTAAGCTTGGAATATATTTAAACTCTAAACTTTTTGGAATACCATAAATCCCTAACACTTTTAGGTTTGGAGGAAGTTTGAACTTGGACCCAATTTGTAAGTATTTCATGTCATCTGAGAAGTCTGAAATTTCAAAATGATTGTTTGTTCCTCCTATCACATCATTAGATAAAGCAATAACATCGTAATGAGTAAAATAAGAACCTAATATCAACCTTTCCAATGAATCTGGGAAGGTGAGCTTGAACATTTCAAATAAATTAATACGAGCCTCAATACCAAAAGACCTTAAGTTATCATAGTTTTTTAAGTTTCCCAAGGTTTCAAATTGACACCCCGCAAGTTTGATGGACCGTATTGTTTTAGACAAATGAAGAGCATCTATTGATTTCACTCCTTTTAAGTTGCAGCATTCAAAATATTCAAGACTTTGTAATTCGCTCAAATTGATCTCAATTTTGTCTGGGATCATATGTAACTTCAATTTCTTTAAAGATGTAGGAAATTTAACTGCAAAACCCTTACTATAAATCAAATTCATGAACTCTATCTTGCTAGTTTGAATGGCTTCCAAATAAGTCTGAAGTTCCATTACTTCATTATCTAAGAGGTTAATTGGATAAGATCCTGATATATAAACCCCGATAACATTGACTTTTTTAAATATCAGTTTTAAATCAACATACATTCCTTCTGTTATCTTGATTTCAAATTCTGCGTGACCGTAAAGACTCACAGTTTCAACTTCAAAGTTCCTTGTATCTTGTGACTCAGCAATACGTACTTTGAGCAATTCACTTAATTTAGTTGCTTCAAGAATAATTCTTGAAGGTTTGAAATTGTATACTTCATATAGTTTTAATAAGTTTTTTATTGATCCATCTGAACGACATATTGGGCTTGAACGAGCTATTGGGCCATCAATTACAAATTCGGAATACCTTGCTTGTATAGCATATTTTTGTAAAGCTGGGATCAAACATAACTCCTCAATCTTTGATTCATCATTAATATACTTGATAATTAAGATCCATAATTCTTCGGGTAGTTTAAGAAATATTTCCATTTTTCACTTTTGACATGAGATTTATGATAATTGATTTGCGTTGATGATTAACAACGATGGTTCTTTTTGATATTGGTTGCCACTATTTTTCTTTTTACCATGAAAAATATTGAAAAATAAATTCTTGGACGTGTCTCATTGATTTGCTACCATATAGCGTTTCAAGATTGTT